TCCAAGCGAGTGGGAGGATGGGATCGACGCTTTCGCTGGTGGCGCTGGGTGAGGATCAGGACTCCAGATGTGTGCTGGGAAAACTGGTGGCTCTGCAAAAGCCAGGGGGCTTCGTTGCGCACTTTGACACTTTTGGATGTTTCAGGTGTGCAGACATTTTGATTCCGTGGCCGGCGCCCTCAGGATGCTGTGCTGCTGAAGCTTGGAACGGGCAGTCGTAGAAAGGCGCGGGAGGGGGGGGGGGGGGGGGCAGAGGCGGAACGAGGCCGCGGGGTTCACCCGGAATTAGTCATGCTTTGCCGCAGTTTTGCGAAGCAATTGCAATCCAGTCCTGAACAGGGGAAAAGCTGAGCTCCAAACAGGTATGTGTCACACGGGACCCCAGACATGGCAACCGTTTTCTTTTCGGTGTCGGCTTCCGGGGTGAAAAGGCTACCCGTAAAAACATGTTTTTTCTCACACAAAAAAAGTAATAATTCACACGCACGCAGACGCACCAGTCATGTCGAAGGGACTTCTGAGAAATGCTCTCACCTGAGGTAGGCCGACTGGATGTGCTGCCACAGACCTTGTGCAGCAGCCAGGGATCTTCCTGTGGAGGCATAGGTTCCGTTTTTTCGCGGAGAGAACAAGAGAGAGAGAGAGAGAGAGAGAGAGAGAGAGAGAGAGAGAGAGAGGGGGAGAGAGAGGGAGAGAGAGGGAGAGAGAGGGAGAGAGAGGGAGAGAGACTGAGAGCGAGAGAGCAGGAAATCCCACTCATTCGTGAGGCATCTCAACCAGTCCCCCCCTTCCCCCCACGGGCGAAAGGGGCTCCTCTTGTTAATTCTGGTTGCATCCTTCACTGGGGCGAACGCCCCTGACGTAATCCATCAGGTTGAACAATCCGGCGACCGAAGGCTCGTAGCGTGCAGCACTTCAATGGGGATACCCTCCAAAAACCACACCTTCTCAAAGAAAAAAGGGTGGCTACCCCGTGTCTTGGCGCATGCATGATTTGCACCAAAGGACCCACATACCCACATCAAAACCTTGCCCACATTTTAGCTCCCCCGTGTTCTTTGCCGCATGTTGAGGCTCGGGTTTACTTTTTTCGCTTGGAGTTCCGCAGGAGTTCTCTCCGTTCGCGAAGGGAGCGCGTTGGATCTTTGGGTGTGCTCCCAAAGCCGGGCGCTCAGAGGGAGGTCCCTCCAGTCTCCCGTCCCAGGCTGAACTGGGAGGTTTTTGGTGGCTCCCAGGTTTGAGACGCACGGGAATGGGTCAAAATTCATTGGGGGGACGGCAGGTTTTAGTCCATGTTCCATTTGCCAGGGTTCCTTTTGGGCACCTGTTTTTGACCCACAGCCACATGGTTCGGGGTTGCTTTCACGGAAGGCGATTCGCCGCTCATTTTTTTCGGTGGAGATTCACCGCCAGGGAGGAAAATGTGGCACAACTCCAACAGATGCGCATTCATCCCGCCGAGTTGTTCAGGTTTCAAGGGGGCCAAGGAATCGCCCTTGGGGTGTGTGACGGTATGTGTCAAAAGACCCACTTGGTTATGCCTCAAAAGAAGCCGCTGCATGTTCCTGCATTCCAAGTGTAGCAATACATCCTCATTGGGTATGTGTCAAAGAAGCTTCTCCGAATTCGTGCATTCCAAGCAACCCCAGTGGGGTACCCGTTGATTTAAGTTTAGTCTTCGGAGGTACGTTTTGTTCAAAACTGCCCCGTAGTACTGCAACACCATGAAGAGTCAACAAAAAACGATAGCGATCGTGGGACGCAGCCTTGTCAGCTGGGAAACACACACACACACAGCTTGCTGGATAGCAAACAGGCCAGACTTGCTAGCTCAACAAAACCATCACAAATGATAACGAAAGCGACAACGTTTCGCACAGTAATGGCCTTTTGCATGCCTTCCTTCGAGATCGAACCTGACAATGGGGAAGCCGGCGGCGGACCTCGGACCTCGGGCCTCGGGCCTCGGGCCTCGAACCTCGGACCTCGGAAAGCTCATTGTCAGCTGCGCGCTTCCTTCACATCCACACGTTTGCTGATGTTCGAGCTACAGCCGCCAAGCTGTACTTTGTGTACGGCACATGTACTGAACAGTTGAGATGTTCGAGCTGTTGCCAAAGCGTAATTCGTGTACTGCACTGGTCCTAAAAGGCTCGCGAGCTCGAGGTTGAGAGTGCAGAAAACACCAACACAGCAAATAAAGGAAGGAGAACCCCCAAAAAGGAACTCTAAGAGCAACGAGGTTTTTGGAAGCCTCATTTGCTTATATGTCAAAAGAAGCTGCTCCAAGCGTTCCTTTTGAAATCAAGGGCCCGTTCCGTTTTGAGACCTTGGGAGTAGCAATGTATTTGCGAGTTTCACCACCCGCCCCTGAATAAGTGGGGTTTGATCAATATTCCTGGCCCGCAACTGACCATGATGTGTAACTTTTCATTGGACATATCCTCGTTTCCAACCTAAGGGTCATCCCATGCTCCTTGGATGTCTTGATCAACCCCCGACGGGTTTCCCTTTGGTTTCCCTTGAAAACAAATTCCAGCAGTGCAGCGAACCTCCCACCCATCTTGCTAGGTGGAGACTTGCAGCGCTGGCGCCTTGGCGATGCCAAGGTCTTTGTGGCGGCAGCAGGCGCATCGGACCAATGGGACCGTTTCGGCACAAGCTAAAGGGGGTGGCTAGCCTTAAAAGCATGCGCCCAAGAACCACCTGCTTTGCGGGGGAATCCTTTGAAGCTGCACACGGCATCCTGCTACTTTCGCCCGTTTTGGTGATTTAAACATCAGTTGTTGGTTGGGCTGATTTACAGCGAGTTTCTTTGTGGGACGATGTTTTTAGGTTGGAAATACCGGGAACTCGGCTTTTCTTGCGGCACTCAGGAGGTGCTGTGCCGCTCTCTTTGATCCTGGAGGAGCTGTGAATCAGTGCCTCGTTGCGTACCAAAGCATGGACCAGGGTCGGACAGGTGCTTAGCTGGGATGGTTGAGGTTGACCTATGTCGCTGCTGGGCGACATAGCTAGGGTTGTCTTCAAACCAACTTCCAAGGCTCCCCTGCATGCGAGATTGTCTTCGTGGGAGCATTGGCAAGTTAGAACGGATTCATGCGTTTAGTCCGTGTTTGGAAGGACATGAGGCAGCAAGTGATAGCAATGGCCGTCAACAGCGACTGGGGCTATGTAGCCGTCCTGCTGGAAAATCCAGAAGGGTCGGCCGTGTGGATATCGGAGATGCCGCAGTGGCTTGGATGCAAGAGCTATTGCCAATTTTTGAGCATTGCGTGCAGATGCTTCACAGTGACCTCATTACCAGGCCCAAGCCATTCTAAAGTTGTTGATGGTGTCAACCCCGCGAGGCTGTCTTTTTGCCAAAATTCACACGATCAGGCGTTTTTGGCAGTTGTGAAGAGCGCTCAAGTGCGCAGCACTGCACATGGCAAGCGCACCTGCTCAAGTGCACCCACTCATCACGGCTAAATGGTAGGCAGCAAATCCCTCAAGTGCACCCTTTCAGCACTGAGCACACGCCTGGCAAATGGCAAGGGCGCAAGCCCGCCAAATTGCAAGCGCGCCTGCTCAAGTGCACCCGCTCAGCACTGCACACACACACACACACTCACACGCCCGCCAAATGGTAAGCACACCCGCTCGTAGCATTGAGTCGCTTGGTAAAGCGATGCAGCGCGGATTTAGAGCGGACGATTCGCCGAGCTGTCGCTGATGTTTGATTTACGCAACTTGTTTGATAGACGAATCCACGAGGTTGAATGGTAAAACCCTGCTGCATTTGTCCAAGTAGCAGGGGCTGAGTCTCATTTGCAGCCTTCGGTACGCGGAGGTCTCGCGCGCAGCTGGTATCAGGGCGGTACGCTGTTGCAGAAGGCCGGGTGACACCTGCGCGTGCCCTGGGGTCCTTGTTCATCCCCTTTAGGTGGCTGTTATCATCAGTTGAGCCAGTTTGAAGTGAGTTGTCCCTTTGGGCGGGTTGGTGTTTAAAGGCGAAATGCCGGAAATGCCTCTTCTCCGATCGGCCGCTTACGTGATGAAGACTGGTATGAGGTTTGGTAAACATTTTCAGTAGGCTATGGGACATTTCCAGTAGTACCAGGAGTCCACCAATGACAAAACTGTTTCTTCAAGTAACATTTAATACACACATGAGTCGATGTGTATGTATATATGTATATATAAATAAATAAATAAATAGACACGGGGCGACACTCAATTTCCCCTACAAACGCTAGAGGGAGTCAGTCACTCGTCCATTGTCCCATATCATTTGCGGGAGCAGGTCTGAATTCAGGGTGACGCCGTGTGTTCTCTTGCGGGCCAAGACCGTGCCTCAGGCGACGCCCTCTTCCATGAGAAAGCATTGGGTACCCTGCGATGCCCGGAGCCCAGCGAAAGGCAGGGAGGCAGAGGCGCGGCGTGTGCTCAAAAGATTTGGGGTCAGCAGTCATGTTGAGATTCATGGCCCATGGGTCTTAAGTGGGCTCACTGCCTTAGGCTCGAGGCTGGTGGCGCTGTGCTGGGTTGGTGACGCGAAGCTGCTGGCTGTCACGGAGACGGGATCTCTGCTTTGGGCCAGCGTGGACTCTGTGCGGGGCCTGGATGCCTGGAATCAGGCGCGGAGATGCGCACGCTTTTTTGCGCGTGGCCCATGGAAAAGTGCAGAGATGCTGGGCATCTCAGCAGTGACAGATGTTTGCAATCTCTTTGAATGGCTCCCGCAGGCCTTGTGGAAGACAGATGCCGAGTATGACGTCTCTGTGAATGCAGTGCAACAACTTCAGGCTGTTTCGGAGGACGGGGGGCCACTCATGGATTGGCAGATTCATCCTGCGTGCCTTGCAGTGTCCATGCGTGAAACTGGGCAGGCCGACAACTTGGTAGGGCTCATGGTGGACGAGATAGATGGTTTGTACTGCATCCTCGCACGCGTGGAGGCGTGGTTCTACGTCTACCCTCCTTTCCACAGTGGCAACTTGTCTTGCTGGTGCTCAGCAGGGAATGAGGGAATGAATGTAGGGATTCCCTTAAAGGAAATTGGGGATGGTTTATAGAGGTCATTCCCTCATTCCCTGCCTATCGCATCAGCAACTTGTTGGCTAGGTGACCAGCAGTGCACTCTCCCTGCAACGGGTCTTCAGTCACAGGCAGGTTTCATTGGTGCTTCAGGCGCTCGCGCTGTTCTCAGCTGCCAGGTGCGCAGGACGAGGTCCTGTCTGCTTTGCGACTGAATGGCTGGCTCCTCAGTCTCAAACATGAAGCGCCTGCAGCGACCTGCGTAGTGACAAACACAAGTTAAGTTACCTGGTTGTGTGTGTGTGGGTGTGCGGTGTGTGTGGTGTGTGCGCAGAGAGAGTTGGTGAAGTCAGCTTGCGAGTGGCGCCGGTGCTTCTGCGAGAATGAATTTGGCCATGTTATCGTAACTGTACTGATAGCAATTACAGTGGAGACTCATGCTGCAGAAACAGCGTGCTGATGGATGAAGTACGTGGTACACATATAACATTGGGCGAATATTGGCCCGGCAGCGATGGCAGAAAATCAATCAGGGACGCCTTTTGGATCAATCATTGATCTAAGGGCAAACTGCACACTTTTTCTTTGCAACACACCTTGCAGTGGCCTTTATACCAGGCCGCGCAACAGGGTTTAGTTCGGGGGAAGTAAGTCCCTCTGGCACTTGAACTTGCAAGAAGGACATAGACCGAGCCTTGATTGCCAGACGCACACACACACACACACACAAAGGTGCCATGTTTAGATCTTGTGCATTTCTGGCATCGCCATGCTTGGAAGTACATCATTGGCAAGCATGAGGCAGCATACACTCTTTGCAGGGCTGAATCCATGCGTCGGTGAGTTCTGACGACAAGCAAGGTTGCGTGACCTATGCTAGAGCTTTTTCCCCGGCCAAGCAGCCTTCACGTTGGCCGCTACATTTGAGCAGGCATTTTAGTAGGTGGTTCTACTACCTTGCCCGTTTGGCAATATAGTGAGGCGTATATACGTTATAGCCAGGTTGGTAGAGCCGAATGTCAATGGGCTTGCTCGAAGTGTGTCCTTTTTCGAGGGTGCTTTTTTCCACTCATCTTGGGACTTTTCAACTCCCCGCTGTGAATCTCCCAATACCCCCCCCCATTCAACGAGGCTTGGCTGGGCCGAAGGAGAGGTAGTGGCGGCCCCGGATGGCCGTGGGATGAGATGGGCAGTTTGGATTTGGCTCTGTTTGTTTTTGGAGAAGCCTTTGTTTTTTGCTTTTGTTTTTGGCTCTGTTTGTTTTTGGATTGTCTTTTTCGGGTTAAGCGAAGCCAAAAGGACGCCTTCTCATGTCTCCCATTTTCAGGCACCCATGAGCCCATTCTTGGAAAATTGAAGCCAAAAAGTACGTGGCCTGGACGGCCCATTGAGTCGCAATCAAGCCGAGAAGGTCAGTGTACTGGCCATAAAGAGGTGCGGATATCCGGCCTCTGGATCTTTTCTACATGGTGCAAACAGTGATTGAGCATCATCGATTCTACAAAGGGGACAAGGAACTCTCTTCGACTGCTGCCCCGGGGGGTTTTCTTGGGGGCCTAGCACCGTGAAGCGTGTCAGGGTGGGGCAATCCAAACAGCCAGACAACCGGACAACCAGACCCTGATTCTCCTCGTTTTTTCTTGGGAAGCCAATTTGGAGACTTTTTCGCAAAGCAGCTGGAGTCTCCTTCTGACCCTTAAAACATGGTAGGTCCTTACCCAAAATGGTTGGTCATGGCCCCATTTTTTCGTGGCGAGTCCTTTCAGCCGCGGTTTCAGCCGCGGCTTCCTCGGGTTTTCTGAAGCCAAGCTGAGTCGAGTCGCATAGGCAGGGCAGCTGGCCCTCTGGAGCCCACCGCAGATTGCGGTGATGACGCTGGAGCGAGGGCGGAAAGGGTTCCACTGGGTTGGACTCCCGTGTCCGTTGCAAGCAATTCCCAGATCATATTTTTGTACATGATATGCTATATATATATATATATATATGGTACCCCCCCCCCCCAAATGTCGACCTTTTTATGTCTTCACTTGTTCTGCCCACTACATCTGACTCTGCTAAAAGGAAAAATACTCTCCAACTCAACCATTTGAACCGTTTAAGCCTTCAGAGGAAAGGTCTGGGCCCAACACCGTTTAAGCCGTTTCAACCGTTTAACCCCTCTCTCAGGGGAAAGGTCCGGCCCACAACCATTTAAACCGTTTAAACGTTTCAATCGTGTACACCCTCAGGTAGATCCCTGCGGGGGGGAGGGGAAAGGGTTTCAAGGGTTGAAAGGGTTCTGAAAATCTGACCAAACCTGACCAAACCTGACCTGACCAAATCTTTTTGCATCTGGCCAAACCTCAGCTTAGAGATAGGACAGATCTAAGCCGACAGCAGATCCTGAAGCCCAAAAAGGGCACACCTTTCAACTACCTGTGAATCCTGGAAAGGTAATTTAGAAAGGATCGCCTTTTTCAAAGACCTCTTTTCATTTCAACTTAGATTCTTCTTTTGAAGTAAGGACATCATCCTATTGGATTTCTAGTTTAATGATAGTGTAAGTAGGTTTCCTTTCCAAATGATATAGTGATTAAACGTCTAACCTATTTGACATTTCACTTAGAGCTGTTTTGCATTTTTGTTTGTTGATGAAATGTTACATGGAATTAATAAGGACATAATTCTAGAAGAGCATCTAGTTTTATCATGTAGATAGGCGCGTTTTAAAATAATGTTTTTGCAGTAGTATTTCAAATTACATTCTAAAGGGGGTCTCTCTCTCTCTCCTTTCTAGTTTTATTATTATTATTAGCAGAACATTGAAGGGGAATTTGATAAGGACATACTCCTAGTATAATTTATAATTTTGATGGAATCTAAACATGTTTTTTCTTCAAACACTATTTGTCACTAAAT